CTTCGTTTTGATCAACAATAAATAACTGTCCAAATGAAGGAGTATCGTTCCTTTCTGCATACAAAGATGTATTCATTTGATAATAAACCTGACCATGTATTTTGAAACAATATGGTCCTGGTCGTCTATTGTTAAAATTAACTAAGTTCGCGTTGAAAGAAGCAAAACCAAATGAATTATTGTAAGGTCGTATATTATAAAGAAAATGCCCAGATAATTCGTGGGTGCCATTAAATAAATTTTGTAATATGAGTGGAGGAGCAGGTAGATCTTCAAGAATGACTTCGCCATGTTTACAACAATCATGAAATGAATTTTTTTTATTAGATACTCTTTCTGCTTGGAAATGTTTAGCATTACAATGCTCACATGAAATGTTCATCGCACCAGCAAAATGTTCTTCTATATGCGAGACTGAAATACTGTCAGAGAAATTTTGATTCTGTGCAAAATCCCGTTTTTTTGGCTATGAGTTTTTTGATAAGCTACATTTTTTTGACGACCGGAAATATTAGTATTTGCTAAATTTGCTGTAACAGTTACATTATCTTTTGCCAAAGATGAAACAGTTGTAGAGGATTTTTCTGAATTTATATTTGATTTTGACACTGTAATAATACTGTCCTTTGTTTGAAGTGATTGAGGGTTAAGAATTCTATTATTCTCTTGTTTTTTTTGTCGAAACTTTCTTTGATAAGCAGCTTTCTTTTGAAGTTTCATGACTTGATGTTGTTCTTCTTCCTCTAAAGAACGTATTATTAATCTTTTTTTTACTTGATTTTTATTTTTTAAATTAGTATATTTTGTAACATTTCTTGAATCATTACAATCATCATTAGTTTTTGATTTTATAAATAATTCACTGTTAACTTTATGTTCACAAAGTTTTACATAAGAATGATCACGTGTAATGTTCATTTCATTACAATAACCCATCTCTATATGTGACTTTGAAATAATATCAGACTGATTTTGTTTTTGAACAGAAGTATGTTTATTTTGTCGAGAGGTGCGCTTGTAGGCAACATTTCTGTCACGAATTGACGTTTTAACTTTAGAAGTAGAAATATTTTCTTCTGCTGATGATAAAGCTGTAGATGTGCTTTGGGGCCTCGTATTTAAAGTTTGCTCTGCACTAATGAATTCATTAGAATCCAATTATTCAGAGCGAACAATTTTATTATTTTCTCACTTTTTTTGTCGATATTTTTTTGATAAGCAGCTTTTTTTTGACGTTTTATGTTTTTATATTTTTCCTCTTCTTCAGGAAAATGAACTATAGCTCTTTTTTCTCCGTGCTTCTCAGTTATTATTAATCTTGTATCTTTCATTCCATTGCTTGAATCAATAGAAATATTATTAACATCATTTGCTGGAATTAAAGGCAAATCTTCTAAACAACTATCAACAAAATTTTTTTTACAAACATTGCTGGTTGAATTCAACGATGATAAATTATTGTCAACAATTTTATTTTCTTCATTTTGGAAACTTTTTTCTCTAGCTCGATTCCTAAGAATACACTCCCAATTACATTCAACAGTCATACAGTACTGTCCGAAATTGTCAGTCCACCCATTTTCAAAGGAATGACAAAAATTTTTTAACATAAAATTCATAAAAAGTAAAATTTTTTTTGGTTTATATTTTGAAAGACGATAAAATTTTAAAAAGAATAAGACCTTACAGAAGTCATTTGGACAAAATTTGTAGAAGATATTCTTAAAAATCGTCATTTTCAATGTTTTACAAAAATTTGAATAACTTCTAAAATAATGAACGCTTTTTAATAATCTTAGGCTTATTTTAAAGACCATTTTCTACAGAATAAGAATTACTTATAGGCATAAACCTGTAATTTTTAACTTGGAGTAAGCATGACGTCAAAGTTGGACAAAAAAATTCAAAAAATTTGAAATAATATTATTAAAAGAAAAATAATTTTTGAAACTCATACATATATTTTTATTAAATTTTCTTGAAAAATCTACACCATATCATGTTTTATATATGTTCTAGAATAGTTTTTAGTACAAAAAATTGATTTCAAATTTTTCCAATTTTTTTGTCTAATTTTGACGTCATGCTTATTCCAAGTTAAAAATGACAGGTTAATGCCTATAAGTAATTCTTATTCCGTAGAAAAAGACCTTTAAAATAAGCCTAAGATTATTAAAAAGCGTTCATTATTTTAGAAGTTATTTAAATTTTTGTAAAACATTGAAAATGACGATTTTTAGGAATATCTTCTACAAATTTTGGCCAAATGACTTCTGTAAGGTCTTATTCTTTTCAAAATTTTATCGTCTTTCAAAATATAAACCAAAAAAAATTTTAGTTTTCATGAATTTTATGTTAAAAAATTTTTGTCATTCCTTTAAAAATGGGTGGACTGACAATTGCGGACGGTACTGTAGTTCTAATATTAGTCGACCTTACTGACGGAAATTTACTTAAACGATTGTTTTTGAACATTAACATTAAATGATTTCTCATGCTATAATAATAGTAATTGACAGAGTGGGGCATAATATTAAAAAATATCGATGTTGCGAATGCTATTGCATATATTCCACAAGCAAGACTATTGTTTTGTTGTTGATCAACAGTTGTGAAAACTACTGGAGGTTTAAAAGGATATAATCTACTTAAATGTTTCCTTTGATCTTCATTTAAACATCCTTCATTAAGACTATCATAAATATAAAGTCTCATTCCATCATAATAAGTGCAAATCCAATGACCTTTCTTGATAGGTCCACTAAAAAGTATTTGAATATGCTTTTTACCTTTTTTAATCGGACTAATAAATTCAAGCGTATAAAAATACAAAGTGCTTTGCATGCTAAAAGCAGAATTTGATTCCCTTCTCAATAATTTTTCGAATTCATCAATATGAGTATCATTTAACATTCCTCCTTCAGTAAGTATAATATTAAAATCTGTAACACTTAAATTAACAGTTCCTTCTTTGTTCGACATGATTTCTTTCAATTTATTGAAAAGATATTGCTTCTAAAAAATAGTTTTTTATAAAATTAATTAATTCAGAACACATGTAAATAATGTTACTATTGTCACATTTAACAGTAACTGGAATTTTTATCTTATCCTTTCTTATTATAGATTATTAAGAATATAAAGAATGTATCTTCATCTATTAATATTATTAATATTATTAAATATAAGTATATTTTTAGTAAATTTTTCTGTTTTGTATCTGTTTTGTATCTGTTAATCTAGTATCTGTGAATAGAGTATCTGTTAATCTAGTACCTCTTGACTAAATCTCTGTTTATCAAGTATCTGGTATCTCGTAATCACATGTTATTTTTAGTACATCTTTAATATTTATAAAGTTTTTTCCAAAATAATAACTAACTACCAAAATGTTAAAAAACAAAATGTTAAAAAATCAATAATTAAGATTTAAAAAAACAAATATTAATCAATATTAAATAATAATTATTACCACTATAATATAATTATGTACAAACATCAGAATTTAAAAAATCAATATTCTACATTTAGAAATCAAAATAACAGGCAAATGTCCTTTATTCCTTTAAATTAATAAATCAAATAATTCACACATTATATTTACAAACTCTTCCTAATAAATATATATACAAATAATATTAACAAAAAATTTAATTTGTATTTACATGTATTTTAATTTTAATACTTACGTACGTAACGTATGCAATGTACTTTAACTTTTTTCAAATGTACAAAAAAATTGCAACTTTTTTCAAATGTACAAAAAAACAAAACCACAAAATTCACAATCAACACTTTCAGAAAAAAATCACTCAGCAAATAACAGCCAATACTTCTTATCGAAACGATACACTTGTCACACTTTGCAAATGGCTGACAGTTGCTGACACTTGTAATATTTTGTAATTTTTCATACCAACCAAAAAAAACTATGCGTTTCACACTGAGGTGAGGTTACGTAGCGAACAAACAATTGTTTGGAAAAAAAGATGCGCGCGCAACAATTTTGTAGCGTCGAAAATGAATCATAAAATTAAATATATTTTATTATTAAAAAACTTTTCATTTATTACAAACCAAATCATAAATAAAAATTATTTTTATCTTAAACTACTTTTGGTTAACTTTTAGTTAATAAATAAATTTTAATTAATTTATTTTAATTTTAATTTTAAAAAAGAGAAAAACGAAAATTTAAAAGTGTGAGGTCACCATCATTATAAAATTCAGCCAATGAGGAACACTCATTATAAAATCAGCCAAAAATCAGCCAATGAGAAAAAAGTTCTACACTTGAAGTTAGCTGCTTTGACATCAGTAAGTAATGTCGTCTCGATTATATCCAATCAAAATAAAGGATTCTGAATTTTAAAAAAACTATGGATAGTATTTTGTTTATTGTTTGTTACCATCAACGTAGGTATGCGTTCAGTAAAATAATGTTGAATTAGAACTTGTCTTTTTTGCGCTTCTCATTTGTTTTGTCAAACTCTGAATAATGTTTTGTTTATTGTTTGTTATCATCAACGTAGGTATGCGTTCAGTCAAATAATTCTGAATTAGGGCTAATTTTTCTTTGTGTTTTTTATTTATTTCTTGTAATTTAAACTTATATTCTGTGAAAAAGTATAAGTTTTTCGTCTTTCATTTGTGTTTCTGTTTTTTATTTCTTGCTTAGTGCGTAAACGTGCTTTTAGTAAAAAGAACTTTTTTTTCACTTTCAGTCTTTTGTTCGTTTTTTAGCACCATTTATTTGATTTCAGTGTATATACAGTGTCTTTTAACTCAGAAGTGTTTTCTTTATTTTTTGTTACCAATAACGTGGATATTCGTGCAGTCAAATAATACTAATTTAGAGCTTGTCTTCTATTGCGATTGTCATTTGTTTTTGTATTTTATATTATTTTCAGTATCCTATTTTTCGTGACTTTGCCCGTTGGTTTTTTGTTTCCTTTCTTGTGCTCATTGTGCTGCTATTATAATTATATTTGACTGAGAACATGGAGGAAGAAGTGGAGTTGGTCGATATTCCAAGTGATAGTGACTCTATTGATGACTTATGTGTTTCTGATATTGATGATGATTTGAACATTAGGGATAAACGAAATGAAGCTACTAAGCAGATTAGTTCTGCTATCTTTGATGAAGAAGATTCTGCAGACAATGTCTCAGATAGTGATGAAAAGTGGGTAAAATCAGGAAAGAGGAAAAGGGATGCTCCCTTTACTAGAAATGTTGGACCTAATATTCCCGATAATGTCAAAAAGCCATCAGAAATATTTCTTTGCTTATTTTCCGATGATTTGCTTGACTTGATTGTTCAAGAAACAAATCGTTATTTGCAACAAAAGGGATATAAACAACCACCCACTACTAAAGAAGAATTGTTGATTTTCTTGGGCATTTATATTTTAATGGGTGTTAAAAATTCTCCTTCTTATCGGGATTACTGGTCTGCCAATCCGCAACTAAATGATCCTTACATAAGTTCGTTGATGTCTGTTGTTAGATTCCGATTTTTTCTTGGTTGTTTACACATCACCGATAACAGTACAGAACCAAAAAAGGGTAATGCGGCTTATGACAAGTTATATAAATTGCGGCCTTTTCTAGATAAGGTGAATGAAAATTTTAAAAAAAATTTTATGTCAAATAAATACCAAACTGTCGATGAATCTATGATAAAATGCAAAGGTCGTAGTAGCATGAAACAATACATGCCACTCAAACCTATAAAACGGGGATATAAGTGCTGGGTTCGAGCAGATCCATCAGGTTATGTATGCTAATTTCAGATGTACACAGGTAAAACTGAAAGTAAGGAAAAGCAGTTAGGAGCAAGAGTAGTAAAAGATCTCACTCGCGAATTGAAGGGCAACAATCACCATGTTTATTTTGATAACTTTTTCACAGGGGTAGATCTTATGATATCTCTGAAAAAAGATAAAATTTTTGCTTGCGGTACTGTACGTCAGAATCGATCAAGATTGCCAAAAAGTGAAGTGCAAGACAAACAAATGAATCATGGTGATAGCGAATTCCGAACATCGAATACGGGTATTCGATGGGTCAAATGGATGGACAAGAAGGCAGTCTACTTCTTGTCTAACTGTCATGACCCTCGTGAAACTGCGCCGGTGAATCGTAAACAAAAAGATGGCACGCTGAAACCCACCAGTTGTCCTGTAATGGCTTTTGACTACAACAAACACATGGGCTATGTAGATAAGGCTGACCATCTCTTGTCAACATATAACATTGACAGGAAATCTAAGAAATGGTGGCATAGAATATTCTTCCATTTCTTAGATGTCATTGTTGTCAATGCGTATATTTTGTACAAAGAGAAGAGATTGAACCCAACTTTGACTTCGAAAGAATTCAGGTTACGTTTAGTAGATGAATTGGTAGGACACAAACTACCAAGTTCAACTGGGTAGAAACGTAAATTGAGTACAATCTCTTCTTACAAACCAAAAGTGTCAGAGGAAAAAAGAAAAAGTCAATCAGCTTATATGCTTGAAATTATCGCTTCACCTAGACGCTGCGCTCATTGCAGTACTAAAGCCGACCAAAAGCGAACATCATGGATGTGTAAAACTTGCAATGTACCACTCTGCCTGCTTCCCACAAGAAATTGCTTCGCTGCTTACCACTGCTGAAAATAAAATTCAATTGTCCAAAGCAAGACACATCAAAACTTTATAATAGCAATTAAAATCCGCTGATTTTAATTAATTAGTTAATTTTATTAGGAAATAAACAGCTTAATTTGATTATTATAAAGTTTTGAACAGTATTTACCAATCTGCCCTTTTCAGGGCTAAACGATGTACAAAATCCGATCGTGCAACCTCCCCGCGGTGTACATCGGGTAAGGCAAATGCCGACGGTACAATTATTCTATAAAATAACGTTTATTTATTGAAAGTAATTTCAGATTCGTAATCAGCGACCCCAAAAACCCACGAGTAACGATTTCCAAGCGATTTCGATCAATTATAAGAAATTCGTCCGCCATATTAGATCCTCCATCTTGAATTTTGGAAAACGGACTTCAGATTCGTAATTAGCGACCCCAAAAAACCCCGAGTAACTATTTTCAAGCTATTTCGATCAATTCTAAAAAAATTCGTCCGCCATATTGGATCCCCCATTTTGAATTTTGGAAAACGGACTTCAGATTCGTGATCAGCGACCCTAAAAATCCCCGAGTATTCAGTTTCAAGCCATTATAATTAATTTTTGATTTCGTTGTCCGCCATATTGGATCCGACATTTTGAATTTTGGGAAACGGACTTCAGATTCGTAATCAGCGACCCCAAAAACTCCCGAGTAAAGACTTTCAATCAATTTCGATTGAATTTAAAAAAAATTTTTTTTTTGTTCTTTAATTTATTTATTTATAGTTGTTTATAATTTCACGTAACATCATTTACTATCAATTTTTCGACATTCAACAATATTTTGATTATTAATAAACAAAGATTTTTTGATTTTACTTGAAAAAGACTGTATATAAACAGATATTTTCAGAATATAAAAGGTGGTAATCTGGGTTACCACTATGCCGCAAAGGGTTAAAACAAATTAAATTTCTCTTACCTTATTTCTGCAATTTAAAATCTGTTTGAATAAAAATATAAATATCTAATTCCCATTTTTCTTCCAGATTTTTAATGTTATAGATATTTTGTTAGTTACAGTAGTACTTCAGATTTTTTACATTTATTTTTAAAATGTCGAATAAATGTAAAGTACATATTGATAGATGTTGCAATCGTTATGAAAGTAAAGAATGCAAATGTAACAATTTGAAAAATATATTCTTGAATGTGAAACAATAATTTTCTAAACTTCTTGATAATAAAAAAATCTAAAATGCCTAGTTACTTTTAGAAAATTTGCCCAACTTCGTCCAAACCATTGCATTCTAGTAGTTGGTAGTAGAACACATCCTGAGTGCGTTTGTACATAATTGCCATTTAAAATTTTAAATTTCAAGTGTCAAATTTGTAATCATCTACTCCCGATTGGCAGATTTCTGGAAATATTTTAATGAAATTTGAACTTTTCATTTAAATTTACTGCCATATTGGATCCGCCATTTTGAATTTCAAATTTCTAGTGTCAAATTTGTAATCAGCGACCCCAAAAAACCCTGATTAGCAATTTTCTGCGAGTATTTTTAATAAATTTAACCTTTTTGTTTAAATTGACTGATATATTGGATCCGCCATTTTGAATTTTAAATTTATGATGTCAAATTTGTAATCAGCGACCCCAAAAACCCCCGATTACCAATTTTCTGCGAGTATTTTAATTAAATTTGAACTTTTTATTTAAATTGACTGCCATATTGAATCCTCCATTTTAAATTTTCAATTTCTGATGTCAAATTTGTAATCAGCGACCCCAAAAACTCCCGATTAGCAACTTTTGTGAGTATTTGAATTAAATTTGAACTTTTATTCTAAATTGACTGCCATATTGGATCCGCCATTTTGAATTTTAAATTTCTGATATCAAATTTGTAATCAGCGACCCAAAAAAACCCCGGTTAGCAGTTTTCAAGTGATTACCAATTTTTAAGCTAATCCGAATGATTTTTATTTTTTCGGTCGCCATTTTGGATCCGCCATTTACGATTTTTGTAAACTAACATCATATTCGTAATCAGCTACACCAAAAACCCCTGAGTACCAATTTTTAAGCCAATCTGAATGATTTTTATTTTTTGGTCGCCATTTTGGATTTTTAAAAACTAACATCATATTCGTAATTAGCGACCCAGAAAACCCCCGAGTAACAAGTTTCAGACGAATTTGGTAAATTTTTAAAAAAATCGTCCGCCATATTGAATCCGCCATTTTAAATTTTTCAAAACTAACATCAGATTCGTAATTAGCGACCCCATAAACCCCCGAGTAACAAATTTCAAGCGAATTAAGGCAAATTTAGAAAAAAAATATGTGTCTGTAAACCCTGTCCATTTGGCACTTGACTTTGTCCCGCAAGGGGACGCATGATTATTTCCCAAATGTCATTTTTCCGAAATGTTATTTTACCTAACTGCACTGTTGCAAATAGTCATTTTTGCGAAAAGCCAATTTTGTGAAATGTCATTTTTGCGAATTGTCACTTTTGCGAATGGTCATTTTTGAGAAATGTCACTTTTGCGAATCGCCATTTTTACGATTTGTCACTTTTGCGAAGTCATTTTTGCGAATTGTCATTTTTGCGAAAATTCTCATAGTAAATTTATTTATGCATACAAGTTTACTATAGTAATTTTCGCAAAAATGACTTTTCGCAAAAATGGCGATTCGCAAAAATGACCTTTCGCAAAATTGTCAATTCGTAAAAATTTGTATTTAATTCAATTAGGACTATCCACGATATGAGACTAGTCTCGGTATCGGTTTAACCCTTAAACCGCACACTGCCGAATCCATCCTTAAACCGCACACTGGGTGTGCGACACCCGGGGACTTTTAAGTGTGTTCTCCAAGCTGGAATAGGATATTATCTTTTGGAAAAATTATCTTATATAGCTCAGTACATCTATTTTGAAGGAAAATAAGTTTCATAATGATTTATTTAATTTTAATAATTAAAAAAGAGTTTTTTAAAACTACTGAAATTACCCTAAACCAAAAACTGGGTGTCAAACAAGCAGAAATTTTTCGCCGACAAATTCATAAAGTTATCAAATACACAAAGACACTTGGGAGACTAATGTCCCTCACGAAACATAAACTTAAGTACAAAATGTATCGTCCAATAACGACACATGTTCAATTTTTACGAATTTAACCGAAATATTAGAGTAAAAAGCTAGAATGTGGGTGTCGCACACCCAGGGTGCGGTTTAAGGGTTAATATCGAATTTTAATAACAAGACCGAGACTATAATTAAGAAAAGTTTAAAATATTTTAATTATTCAATATCAATTTTCAAATAATTAAATATTTCAATTATTGAATTTTATAGTCATTTAATCATACAACCTTTTTTCTAAAAAGCGTTGGAGAGGGGTCGGATATGCGTTTAATACCTTCTACTACCAACAAGGCAATCATTTGACTGTCTTTGTAGATAATTGAGAACTTTGAAATAAATATTATTATCTTATTTGTGATAATTTCTTATTTAAATATGTGTTCTTTAGTTCTCATTTTGTTACCATTTTCGACCAATTAGCTTAGGCGGACAACTTAGGACCACTTTCCCCTAAAGAATATAATAATAAACTGCATATTTTTATTTTGAAATTTTTTCATTCACAAAAAACATATAATAAAATAAAATAACATTTTTTAAAATGTCATTAACCGAATTTCAAATTTTAGAAAAAAAAATATTTCTTTACTGATAGATTCTAATAATGTTGACAATATTTTGCATGCAAATTGGACAGTGAGGATCGTTGTAGAAATCTTTGCATTAAGGCGTACTTGCGTTTGCGAAGGCAAAAAATAGGCCCCACTTTAATGTTTTTTTCACAGTCATTTTCTTTAAAATATTAAAAACGATTTTTGCACCTTAAGTACATTATAAAAACTAAGAAAAGAAATTTTTTTTTCGATTTTTAACTGTTATTTACGATTTGTAGAGGGCCCCAAACATTGCGATCTCAAATTTGTAAGAGTTTGCGGTGCCCCGCATAGAGCCTCTCCTGACTGTCTAAAATCATAAAAACAAAATTTGTTCTTTAGTATACATTAATACCTAGTGGACGTATATGATTAAATTTAAAAAAAGTAAAAAAAACGAAAATGCGGTAC